TTTTATTATGTTTCCTTGGGAATAGTTATGGATTTCTTTGTAAGTTGTCTATTCTGTGTTTTTTGTTTCTGTTTGAAGTGTTAGAATCTGGGCAGTGTGGTCACTAAAACCTGTATTAAATGTAGCAAAAAAAAAAAAAAAAAGGGTTATTTGCATCTATTATTATTTACTCTTATTATAGAAGTACTAAGTCTAATGCCAAAACCAACCAACCAATATCTGTTCATCATTTTTGAAATTATTGTAATATTTAAGTCCAAGAATACACTGATAGTACGTAGACTTAACATACTGGTATGTGTGCGTGCGGTGTTGCCAACTTCTATTTTTCATTTAATTATAATGTGCAAAATAAAAATTGGGCTATTACATCACTTATTAATGTTTATTGACTGTCTATTTAGTTGTTATTTATTGTTTGTATCTTTTAATTAGAGCCAATCATTGGATAGATTAAATCAAAACCACATCACCTCTAATCGTATATATTTGAATTCCATTAAAATGATTTTTCTACGTGTACTAGGTGTTGCGATATGGTTTATCACTTTGTCAGGTACATTTCATGTCAATGCAGTTGTCATTTCATGTTCACACATGTTGTAACATGAGCAATAGTGTTAACATTGACATTCATAATGGGATATATTGGATGGCATTTATTTCTAATTGTTCTGTTTATTTGTAAAATTATTCTTGCTTGTCTGTGTGATGTGCTGAAAAAATGTTTATAATCATTTAATTATAATCATTATTTACTATTTTATTTTCCAAATAACTAACGTTCGAACATGGCAGCAAAGATAAAAAACGTTTTTGTGGGCATTCTGCTTTACTTCTCTCCAGAGCATCAATAACTGTTTAATTTCTTAATGAATTATGAAGAGTCATTATGGATTTGTTTGGTTGTAAGACTTTATTTAAAATAAAACAAAACATTTAAGAATGAACTTAAAATAAGGTTTTTCGAAATTGAATCCTCTGTCTATTTGGCTCAAGTCAAAGATTTGAGATTTTGAAAAATATTCCATAAAATTTGGGAGTATTTTACATGAAGCCCTCTGGACATCTTCAAAATTTTATCAATATTGGCTCCAAATTTTTCTGTCAATGTCTTCCAAGAATAGAGCAACATACTATTATAAACGTGGCATATGTCTGATTTTCAGGGTTAACTCTAAATTTTCGAAAATTTTAAAGGTACGAATTTTTTCGGTGTTTCCTACTACTACAGAATTAAAGATATTGATAAGAATTTTTCCTTCAATTACAATTTGTTCTTGTAAGTGAGTTCTTTCATTAAGGTCATGCACATTTTTTGAAAATTTTAGTAGTTTTTGCGCAATATTGCGTGCAATTTGTGTAATTAAAAAATTGCATTAAGATTTTCTGAAAAAATAATCCAAATTTTTTCTTTAAACTTTTAATAGGAATAGTGCTAAATGTATTCTATAAGATGTCATAAACGCCATATTGCTATATTTTTTTGTTTTATCGAAATTAAAAGAATGCATTTTTTTACTAGTATCTCATGTCGTTAATATTTATATTAGCGGCAATTTGTTCACATTATTGTATTTATGAGTACATGTGCTTTAAATGTCATTAAGTTTCTTGAAACTCAACAGTTTCCTGTCCAAATTAGCTCAAATTTTCGCATTTTCAGAAACGCTCAAACGCCATTTTCTCGAAAACGGCTCCAATTTTTTCTTCAAACATTTTCCAGCGGATAGTTTTAATTGCATTATCCTTAATTTTAATGTGACGTAAAGGCCATTTCGGTTTGTTTTTTGTTTGTTTTTTTCAAAAATTACACAAATGAAAATTTTTTGATCTCTCACGCCATTGATATGCCCATTTCCAGCAATTTGTAATACTATTGTATTTGTAAATTAAAGTACTTAAAATTACTTCAAATTACGTTTTTCAAAAATCGAAAATTTTGTTGTGGAAAAGTGCAAAATTTTGAATTCACAGTAGCACTTATACGCGTTTTTCTTAAAAACTGCTTCAGATGTTTTAAAGAAAATTTCCATTTAGGACGAGGTTTAATTTCCTTTTATATTCATAAAATAATATTTCAGTTGTTCTATGAGAAAACGAAAACTTAGGAAAATTTCAAAAAAGGTTTACTTTGCGCGGCAGCTGGCAAGAGTATGTGGCAAGTCCGAGTAGCTAGCCGTGACCAAACGAAATAGAAAACTTATACGGTAAAGTACCATTCTGTAGCACTACCAGTTAATTTTATTTATTTTTAATTAATTTTTTCGCAAAAGCCACACCAATAATTTTGATTAAATTTTGACTTCGGACATCCTATGAGAGAATTAAGAAAATATTACAGGTCTCATGTTCGTTGAAAATTCTGATTTTTAAAAATTGGAAAATTTCAAGTTTTTTGGCGTCTTCCTACAATTGTGAAGATACATAGTTTTTTCTTAATGAAATGTGTTAATCTAAAATGGATCTTTATATACGATCATTTTAAATGTTTTGATAATATGAGTATTTTTTGTGAAATTTGCGTCAAACGTAGTAGCCCGCTCCGAATTTACGAATCCAGGCAGTTGGATGCTTCGTAAGAATTTGTGTGTTACAGTAAACTCTCGTTAGCACGAACTCACTTTTCACGAATTTTGCTTAGTGGGAACAAAAATTTGGTGGCAGCAAGGAATTACGATAAAATAAACCTTTGTAATACGCAGATAACTCAAATTTTTATATGACGAACTTTTTCTCGGTCTCTTGAAATTCGTGTTAATGGGAGTTTACTGTATTTCATATTTTTTGTTCGTTTCTTACATTCGAGCTTTTGTTACACATTTACAAATTAAATCTTTTATAAATTATTTGAAATATATGAAATAGCTAGTGGTGCTACAGAATGGCAGACTTTCCCGCATTAGTTTTCTATTAGTTACCTTTTGGTCTCGGCTAGCTCTATTCGGAATTGCCACGTTCTATTGCCAGCTGCCATCTATCGCCTCCCAAAGTTTATATTTTAAAAATTTCTTTATTTTTTCGGTTTCCAAATACTAGAACTGGAATATTCATTTAAGATTTTATATCAAATAACAGTAAAACCTCGTTCTAAATGGCAATTTTCTTTGAATAATTTTTGATGCCGTGTTTAAAAAAAGCTACGTTTAAGCGCTACTATAAAGGCGAAATTTCAACCTCTTTTCTCAGAAAACTATTGAGGTTTTGAAACTCTTCATATGAAGTAATTTCAAGCACTTCCAGTCAGAAATGCAATAGTATTTACAAATCGCTGGAAGTGGTATATCAAGACGTGAGAGATATTTCAAAAAAATTACATTACATTTGTGTAATTTTTAAAAATACAAATTGAGCGTTGGAGAAAATGGTGTTTGAACGTTTCTAAAAACTGTAGAATTTTGAGCTCATTTTCACAGGTAACTGTTGGGAAGCTTTATATGACATTATTTAAAGCACTAGTACTAAAAAAAGCGTTAATGTAAAAAAAAATGCTGCTAATGTTAATATTGACGACGTGGTCATGTCAAAAAATTAATTTTTTGTAATTTTTGAAAAATAAAAGAATAGAGCAATATGGCGTTTATGATATCTCATAGAGTATATTAAGTACTATCCCTACCAAAAGTTTAAAGAAAAAAATTTGGAGCCCGGAGAGAAAATATTGTTTTTGTAATTTTTTAAAATGCAATATTGCTTGAACCTACTTACCTGACCTTAATGAAAGAACTAATTATGGAAAACAAATTTTATATGAAGGAAGAACGTGTATCTTCAGTTTTGTAGTTGTGGGAAGACGCTGAAAAATTCAAAATTTTGCAATTTTTGAAAATTTAGAGTTAACCGTGAAAATTGAACCTAAGCCACCTTTATAAGTATATTTTGATATAAGAAATTTAAAGAAAAAAATTGGAGCCTTTATTGAGAAAATTTTGAAAATGTCGGGAGGGGGAGAGGGGGCTTCATGTAAAGTACCCCTAAATTTTGAAGAATTTTTTTTCAAAATGGCGACACCTCGAGTGGAGCCAGGTCGACTGGGGAATATCCATTTTGGAAAAAAGCCTACGTATGGTTTAGGCGCTGGTAGTGTACCCTCACAGACGGACGTTTTGGAAAAAAACAACCTTTTTCGGTATCAGGGGTCCCTAAAACGTATTTCCGTTGTAATCTCGAAATCGATTTTCCTCAGTATTCTAAAACTTTCCCTGTACTAGGTATACTACTTCGTGTGTACGTATACATACAGGAAATGAAATATTGCTCTCCTTCAGGAAATAACATATTGGAATGCAACAAAGGCTCGGCAACAATGACTCGGGTGCTTATTACGTATTATTGCTGGGGCATGATTTACCTGGATGAAAGGCAGTTATAATTGAATGGGTGAAAATCAGAACGATATATTAACATTTTGTGAAACAACGTGTTTAAAGATTTCAGTGCCAACGAAAAATACGATTCCTGTAGAACCTCAAGTGAAATTTCGTTTGCCTACCTGTCAGGGGCCAGTTCAAGCGGTGTGAGTCGTCCTTACCTTGCAACTTGTAGATGACGCGAAGACGCTACCATAGAGGGCGCTTAGTAACGGAGGATTACTCCGATGTGCTCATCGCTCCTTCAGGCGTTTAGAAAACGCGTTGCGTTTATTTTGACGCAACAAATTAAATTAATAAGTCGTGATTTTAATCAAACACAAAAATAAAAAAATACATATGGTTAAACACGTGACAAAGTATTCTGTTGTTTGCATGAAATTCTTCTAAGTGTAATGTTTGTCACCAAAAAATGTTACTGTTCACAATAGAAAAATATATAGCTGAGGCATAAAATTACGGGGAAACCTTAACCGGATGATTATTGGTGAAGTTTTTCAAGGTAGAATATGGTTAGTTGGTTATTATGCATTAAAGCGTTAAATTTTACTTTCCTACTGCTCATGTAATTAGTTGGCCTCCACAAGTTATTAGTATAATGGTACTAGTGAATTTCAGAAACTTAACAGACCCCTTTACAGTATTCGAGTAAAGCTCATGAGTGTGCTGTTCTGGCATAAAAAAAACATCATTAGAGATCTTTTGAAGCTGCTGTGTTAACAAACTTGTTAAACAAAGAAACACATCTATAATGAACCCTTTAATGTCGTGAGATTCATTACAAATGTACTACTTATGTGTTCGTTTTAAAGACTGAAAATTTTTCATTAAAAAGTTTTTCTCGTGTGATTAAATGCAAATTTTCCAATGGTACAAAAAGTTTAAAGACAAAATTGGAGACGTTTTTGACAATATATTGTTTTTAAAATTCTCCTGATTACACATAAAATTGCGCAAACGATTGTCGAAATAATGTATACGAGATTAACTAAAAATTAAGTAATACATTTCGTTTAGAAACAAAATCCATCTTCAATAATGTAATTGTATAACAGGCTGCAACAAATTTCAGTTTTTGAAATTTACAAAAAAATAAGTGGAAAAAAACGTAAAAATCGAACCTATGTTATACCAAATTTAAATGTATATTTTATTCTATTCAACTAAGAAATTCAAAGAAATTATTTCGGACAGTTTTTGAGAAAATTTGATGAAAATGTCCCAGGATTTCTTAGGAAGGCTCCAAAGCTATCAAATTTCCAGAGCCTCCAGTCAGACCAGATCGATTCAGGAATACTTGTTTCAGGAAAAAAAAAAAACTCCCAGATGGATATTTAGCCGAAACCAATTTTTCGGTACCTATCAAGGAACCACAAAACATGGATGAATACACGCGTATTAGAGATAAGCATTTAATACATACATGAGCAAAACATCCACTTTTATGTCATTAGAGTCCAACGAAATGCATTTTTTAGAAAGAAAATACTTTATTATTGATTTCAATGATCAATAAACGAAATTTGAGATTCTCAGCATATTCTGAAATTCCTGAGGCCAAAATGAAACAGTCTAGCTCCTCATGTTCTAGTGGTAAAGTGACGTACACAGTAATTTTAAAACATTTCCTTCTTTTGTTTATTTATTTTCATACAAGGAATTCAGTTCACAGTTACAAATATCATAGAATATATGTATATTATGCAGAATATGTATGTTTCATTTGTATTGCAATATACACTGTGTTTTCTGCCAAGAGATGCCACAGTCTTCTGACTGAAGGCGGTGTAGCAGTTGATTTTTGCTGTTTTTTATTCCCTCTCTCCCGTTCAATAAAAATGCCGTGTGAATTTGCCACAGTGAGCTAGAGAAATAGCTGATTTCTCTTGAGGCCCTACTTTTTATCAGTAACAAAATTTTACTGTGAATCCTTAATGTTAATGCGAGACATTGGGATATACAGCAATATATTCTTTGTATAGTAGAATAATTACATATATTATTTCATTTGTAGCATCTCTCAACAAATTAACAATAAATACTGTATATAACCACCTTTTTTTGTAAAAGAGCATTGGCAGTGCAAAGTGAAAAATGAATGTAAATGATCGGAAGTTCACTAAAGAAGGAAAATAGAGGTCCAAAACCATTTGCAGGTGAACGCATGATGGCAGCGGGACAAGGAATCATGAGAACAAATGAGGTGGTATGAACACATGATCGAGTGATAGATTCATAGGGACATGAACGAGCGTAACACACCATAACCGTCTTCACAGAGAGCCAAATATCTCTGTTGTCTCTTAGGTTTCCCTTTGTAGGTGTTCCTCCACCATTTTATTTATTCTATTAACCCTTGCCCCATGCAAGCAAAAAATTAGATGCATGTTGTTCCTTATGATGTATCACCCCAATTACTAGTATAATGTCATTAGATGGCGATATATCAAAATTATGATGGAAAGTTTATCATATCTTTATGTTTGATAATATATAAAAATAAAGAACTGAGCGGACAACATTATTTTTCTGGGTCATGGCTGTTTTTGTATTTCTCTGACTTTTCAAAGACTCTGGCATCTGCCCATGTCATCCTATAGTGGAGATAACCGTGCTATGTCATTGGCTTGTTGAGGGCAGAGTGGTTATTGGAAACTGGTCTTGCCAAAGATGAAGTTGCCAGGGGCATTAGGATCTTCAGAAGTGAAGAATTCTTGCCACAGCTTGGCGAAAACGGGACGGTCCACTTCAACGGTTTTGTTCTGGTAAAAGACAAATTTTAATTAAGTTTAGTTTACATTGTAGAGAAAAGTTTCAAATGCAAATGTTATTTCAAAAGTAATAGCATGAGAGTGAAGAAATTCAAAGAACATTGTTCTGGTGTATGTAGGATTTAAATTGGGGCAAAATGTTCAATGAAGTTCCAACAAAGTAACGTTAAAGAATTCATTCATTCATATACAATGCAACAAATAGTTACTCTAAATTTAAAATACTCTAATTGCAAAATTATTTGCAATCATCCTGAAGTCCTGTCACAAGCAGCTTTTATTCACTAAAAATTAATTGATTATTATGATTATCAGTCTCCCCAAATAGTATGTCTATTTTTGCAAGATTAAACTCAGCTTTAATAGTTACTTTTCTGAGTAAATATTCTAACTCTAGAATCTAGAAGAAAAGAAATATAAACTTACTGATACTTATTGTAATGTCTATATTAATGTTGTATATATTTCGCGGATAAATTATGACTTTCAATGAAACTACAAATAATAATGACAATAATATTAATAGTACTAATTCTAGTACTAGCACTCGTAATAGCAATAGTAGTAAAAATGGAAATAGTTACAGTACTCATAGTAAAACTAATATTTAGCATAACTATAGAGACGCGTTGCGTCGATATAGCCGCAACAAATTCAAAACAAAACAAATAATAATTTGCCACGTGGCGATTGCGGCAGCTGATGCCTGCACTGAGGAGGCTGCAGGTTTGAATCCTACGTAGGCATGGACGTATTTATGATTGGCCCTTCCCCCTCATTATCATCCTATAACCTCATAGTTTACAAGTCAAGGCTAACAACCTAGTCAGCTGGATGGATGCAGCTGAAAAGGCTGTTCGACATAGTGAGTAATTGATCTCTCCGGGATAAATATGACTGCCTCGCAGAATACCGTGTAAATTGGTCGCATTAAAAAAAATACAATTTTTAGAGTCTGTTTTGTATCCACTTGCCTTGTGGCGGTTGTCATGTATCTTATGATTGTGTGTTTGCTAAGTATAGTTCAATTGTTGCTCAGTTTACGCAGATGAAACATACTTACCACTTGTGTCTGTAAGATCAGAGTTAAAATCTAGTTCTGTATTTTTTTATTCAGCTCGTTCTACTGCTTTGCCAATGCTAATAACAGTAGACTAATGACTAAAGACTAGTGGCTTGAAGAAACAAAATTTGTCTATTATAGTCCATTCGGTAGGTACTGAAAAAGAGGGATTACCTGGAAAAAGGTCACAAAATCTTTTTTTTTAAGTATGTTGTATGTACTAAGCCACTAGTTAAAACCTCAAGTTTTCGACCGCCAAGACCCTGTGCTAAATCCAGGAGGCCCGAAAAACAGGATTTTTTCAGATTTGTTTCGGCGGTAGTGTTTTTTTAAATTTGTAGCTCTCTTGGTAATTTGTTTCGAAAAAAGTGTTTTACACAAAAGTTGTAGGACATTTTATCCTCTTTAAAATGCAATTAAATTATTTTTCTACACGATTTAAGGTCAAAGAGATGTAGATAAAAATTGAAACAAGTCAGAAAAATACTGGGTTTTCGGGCCTTCCGAAGTTAGAACAGTGTCTGGGAGGGGGTGAAACTTGTTGAGTTTTAACTAGTGCCTGGGAACACACAACATACTCAAAGAAAGAGATTTTACGTCATTTTTTAGGTAAATTCTGTTGTAAAAAACATACAATTTCCTACAACTTTTGTATGAAACATTTTTTTCGAAACCGATTACCAAGCGAACTACAGAATTTTTAAACAAATACTATATTTTCATTTCTCTAAAATGTGTGCAAAAATACACATGTTTTGTATTTACGTAATCAACCTATAATAAATATAATTATTATAAGTAATACTAGCAAATAGTATAAAAGATACTAGTGGAAACTCGTCGAATATTCTGGTTGCATAAACAGCGCTCTCCAGCGGTTCGAGGTGTAAACTACAGCGCTCAGCTGGGTTTGCGAGTGCGAGAGAGAATCGTTGCTTACAAGCAAATAAAAGTGTCGTTGCAGGTTGTTTCTCAATGTTTGTCAGGCGTACGTTTTAATATTTGTGAAATGTTCTTTTGTGTATAAATGGCAGGAAGGGGTTGCTTTTGTAACGTCAGCGGATACAGTAATTATGAACTGCAAAGGGATTGTAAATCAGTTTACCGATTTCCTAAAAATAAGCATTTGTAAGTATTGAGTAAACACATGGACAGTTTTCGTTATTTCAGTGCGTTTTTTTACTTTCTGTAAATTGTATCGATTTTTCTATAAATCGGGTTTCCCTAATGAGGAAAAAAAGCAATAACATGGCAAAAATTTGAGGTTGCCGCACAAAAGTACCATATATATATATATATATATATATATATATATATATATATATATATAATTAAAAGAAAAATGTACACGACCTTTTTTTAAAGAGCTAATTTTGTACAGCAGACTTTGTCTCAAGCAACAATCTCTACGTTTAACTTTGTAGTTAGGAATTTTTATTGCAATTTTCCAATTTTCGAAAAAAAAGAGCAATGTGACCTGAAATTAGACTAGCGCTATATTTCTTACTGTTCCTTGTTTCATATGTAGAGAAAATTTAAAGAAAAAATTTGGAGCGGATTTTGAGATTTTTTTGTATCACAAAATGCGCTAAAACAACTCGTTTTTTCAAAAAAAATCTATATGCCCTTTTTTAAAGAGCTAATTTTGTAACACAGACTTTGTCTGAGGCCAATATCTGACTTCAATTTTGTAGTTTTAAAATGATTCTTTAATTACAAAAACGAGCAATACCCAAAAATATGACTACCACCATCTTTTTTTATTGTCTTTTATGACATAAATGGATAAACGTAAAGGGAAAAATTGGAGCAGCTTTTGAGAATTTATTTGTAAATTTGAATCGCAAAATACGCAGAAACTATTATTTTTTTTAAAAAAAAAGATTGCACAAGACCTTTTTTTAATAGCTAATTTTGTATCGCACACTTTGTCTGAGACAAATATCTCTATCTCCAATTTTGAAGTTAAATTTTTTTCCAATTTTCGAAATTAGATGTTAACAAAAATTAGACCTGTACCATTCTCTTAAACGTTTGTTGCACTATTCAACAACAAAAGTTAATACAAAAAATTGTTTTGAAAATTTTGAAAATGTTCCAAAGGCTTCATCTAATGTGTCTCCCAAAATTAAAATTTCAGTTTCAAATTCCAGGGCCCGCGATATCAGCTAGAACGATTGGGGAATATCATTTTTGGAGATAATCGGCTAACCGGTTTATGCGCCAGAGTTGTGCATCGACGGACGGGTGGATGGAGACAGACAGACGTTCAGCCGTCAATAGATTTTGCGGTATCAAGGAGTCACAAAACATGGATTATGAAAACAACCCGTGTTAGAGGTTTTTTTTCTATTCTTAGCAACTTAGCAATGATTTAACCACTTTTTGCTTACCAGGGCCCGGTAATAAGTGTTTCTCGGTCGTGTCGCTAGGTTTCGCATTATCGCGACCATACCAAGCAGTGCGATGTGTAGCGGCTCGACGCGAAATGCCGTGAGATATACCCATCGTGAAGTCAGGCCCTGACGTGCCACGTTATAAAAACTGAAGTATAAGTAATATACACACAGACACAACATAAATAATACTTGCAAAAGTAATTTTTAACTGTTCAATTATAGTATTTTTATTTTTAACTTATACTTTCACCTAATAGTAAATATAAATATTGAATGAACAATTAATATTATTTTTGCTAATTTCTAGTCTCCATAAGAGGTCGAAAGTGCTGACATCGACGTGCTTGCATTTCTTGATGTGTTGCAGTATCGTCGGTGATGAATTAGAGACTAGTACTGACGAGGACTCCCAACCTACAAGTGCTTTCAACGGGAGCAGATTTCCACCGTTTACGTCTACAATTGTGGCCGATGATCGTTGAAAACGATGCCCTGTTTGGAGCTCAGGTGAGTCTAAATTTAAAAGTTCCACTATATTTCTTGGAGTGTCTCCTATTGTGTGTATATCCACAACTTGTTTAGTGTCTTTCCATTTCTGTAATCTAGGAAAAAGCGTCTCGTTTTTAGGTTAGTGGGACTGTGGTTAGCATATTTTTATATAAATCATATGCATTGAATGGAAGACCGTATTTGGGTATTACAAACATCTACTTTTTTTGTGCAATTCAGTGTAACTAGCACTTCGTTACTCTATATCATCAATAGTCAGTGTCACAAGTTCGTCTCATCGACATGTCATAAAAATACAAAAAATTACAATAACACTTTAAACAGCAATTTGCTTCCGGCACAAAATGTCTAATATGTCCTTAGGCTTGGCCTTCTTGTAACTGCCACGTCTGAATCAACAATCGTTTGGATTTGAAATGGATGATGGCGTTGCACCCTTGCGATATATACTCTTGCACTCCTACGTATTAAAAGCAAAGGGGCTTTTTATTTCTCGTATTGTTTCTTGTAAGATGGTATTATGAAAAGTATTGAATTACACGGCCGATAGAACAAATATTAGAAAAAAAACACGGTTATAAACCTCGGCTATCGCCTCGATTTACAAACTTCAGCCGGCCCATTATTTGCTGTTTATCGGCCTAATGACGTTAATAACTATATCAAACAGACACTTAGTAATGAAATAATATATCGTAAAATACGTTTTATTCGTTTAGTTCCTCACAAGAGATATTCGTAGAACTAGCTATACATTCCAGCCAATATTTCGTACATTGCCTGGCAGAAACAAAATTCTCAAAACTACACATAAAGTTTTTCACTTGCCTTGGACACTTTTCATCGGCATTCTGGTTCCTGTTTATTACATATCTGTTCTTTCTCGTTAGTCTGTATGATTTCGTACAACGGTATTTAACTACATATGTTGGATAACGAAAGCAGTCACCGGCCACTTCTGGAAATACGAATAATCGCGCCTTATCCAAATCGCAACGCTAAGCAAAGTACAGTCACAAATTTACTTATATTTTACAGAGTAAATATCCGGCATTGCCTAGGTGATTATTTATTACTATCGTCTACGAAACACCTCGCCGTCTCGCCCGCTGCGCCCGCTCAGTGGGCATGGCAATGGAATGCGTGTATTGCGGGTTGCATTAAAACCAATAATATCACTCTCTTCGCACTCGCACCTCTGGGGGTGGTAAGTATTCTTTTCCACATCATAATTCTCCAGCAATAATGTGTACCAAGTTTCGTTGAAATAGAATTGTTCCCGCGCTGAAGAGTTAGGCTTGAATACGAACACAATTCTAATACTGTACTGTACTGTTACAATAGTACTGTATGTAATAATAATTATATTTCGTTTAGGTTAATTCTATTATCACAAACTTGTATTTTTGCATACATGTTGGATAGATGAAAAAATAGCTTTTTTAAAAAGCTGTTGCTACAGTAACCAAGCAACAACAGTTCGCTTACTAATTGTCATAAAATCAATTCATACTAGAGTTGTAGGAAATTGTATCCTCTTTGAAATTATATGAAATAATTTTTTCTACGAGACTTAAGGTTAAAGAGTTTAAGAGACAGAGCAATTACTCGAAAAAAGAAAAAAAATACCGGTTTTTCGGTTCTCCCGGAGGTAGCAGAGGGTCTTGGAACTCTAAAACTTGCGGTTTTAACTGGTGCATTGGAAGATAAAACTTATTCAAAGATAATTTTTTATGATATTTTTCCAGGGAAAATATACATACCGACTAACTTTAAGATATGTAAGTTACATAGGACTGACATTGAATTACAATGTTCAATCAGTTTCTCAAAATTAGACAGAACAGTACTTTCTGATGTGATAAAATGTAAGAGTGAAATCCGATTGAGAAACAGAGAATTTAACAATGAAATTGGAATAATAACTAATGTTATCGATTTGTACCTCATAAAATAATAGTATTAGAGTTGTTTTAGTTTGAAGTGTAGTAATATAGACTTATGCAGTGCAATTAATACTTCAGGCAACGCTATCGTTTTATACTTTTTCATCAACTATTAATAAACTACTATTTAGATTTCAAATTGATCTAGCTAGAGCTTATTAGTCAGAGTGAAAGACCCTTTCGTCCATGTCGATCGAGAATATTGTGCGCATAGCCCAGCCCTGCCGAGGTCAACACCCCCTTCAATGTAGAAATTGGTTAAGTTTCGATTGAATGATTTTGTGTTGTAAACACAGCAATTCAAAATCGTCCCAAAGTTCGACCTGCTATCGAACCTGCTATTTGAACGACATGCTATCACGCTTTGTCCCCTCCCCGCGCTCCAGAGCGCCAGGCGAAGCGCCAGGCGAAGCGCCAGGCGAATGACAATGCGAGCAATGAAGATTTGGACACCTCTGATATAAGAAATAGTGTTGGCAAGAGAAGTGAACTACTGCAGAAGAGCTTATTTGAATGTAAATCGATGTTTATTTCATGTAAGAAGAAGTTCTCAAAGTTTTGATAAAATAACGGAACGAATGAGCAATTTCGTATTCTTTTAGGTGATATAGTTCTGTTAATTAATTATTCCATTACCAACATTTTATAGATACATTTATGATAATAACTATAGTAATAAAATGTACTACAATGCTTATAATTCGATTATTCCAGAAATAAATAAAAAAATTGTTTAACATTCATTCGGCTGCATACATGAAATATAATTTCAGAAGAGCCCAATCACACAAAAATGGAAATGCAAAGAAAATAAGTACATTGAAAAATAATTGTTTTATTATCGTTATATTTCTTCTTCCATTAACCAGGAAAAAAGAAGTAATATGAGCAATAAACAGGCTTTTTAATAATGTTAAGGAAGTGATATTAAAGACTTTGCAGTTATCACATCTTGTTTTTTCTATTTCTAGGGATGTAAACTGGGAGGTCCCTGTCCTCATTTATAATAGATATTTGCATTGAGAGCATTGAATCTGAGGTGATGCACGTCCAAGATTCCATCAGCAATGTCCATTTTCAATATGGAATCGACGGCATAGTATCACTCGAAAGGATCGGGATTCCAATTTAGTAATAAATATTTTTATTATTGAAAAATACAAACAATTTTTTCTGATTAAAATTATTAGAAATAAATACAAGTATTGAATTCTGTATGCAAGGATAAAATAAATTCAGGTAAATATAATGAATCTTCCTTAAAATTTTCCAAAATATCATACCTTTATGAAAATAAGTAAAATATTATGTGCACCATAACAATTATGATAAAACAATCAGAAATTGTGTGCTCCGTGCACACACAAGTAATTAATCTTTCTCAATGCTGGAGAAAAATCTGTATTTGCATTGCAATCCAGACCCTAACTATTACTTAGAGACAATGAATACTATGTAACTTACGGAAGTGAACTTATCGTAGGCTTGACCACATTCCTCGGCAGAAAGCCCGTAGCCTGTGAACACAGTGGTGAACTCTTCCAGGTCAATAGTGCCATCACCTGAAGCGAAAAATATCCCATGAAGGCAATGACATTAATTCCAAGGATTCTAGAAAATTGTAATGATTCAGATCAGTAAACTTATTTGATGATTAATAAAACTGAGTGGTTTTTAGGGATAAGGCGGGAAAACAGGCCTGACGTAACCGCCCCTCAAATAAAGACAATATTATTATTATTATTATTATTATTATTATTATTATTATTATTATGTGAATTTCAAATTCTACAAAGAACTTTTCCGAAGAAGAATGTACCAACATCAACATCTGCAAGTACCAATATGAAACTAAAAAGAAAACCAATTTCATATTATCAAAGACATAATAAATTTGGGAAAAGAATGCTTAACAGCACCATTCCTAAATTACTCAACACACTGTCAAATGAAATTTTCGAAATTTAGTCTATAAGGTTACTGAAAAGAAAATTAAAAGAATGGTTTATCAGACATTAACAAGAAAATAAAAGTTGAAGTAGATTAATTATTAAATTATTTATTATTTTAAAACATGAAATTATAACTTAATTCAAACATAAGTAAATTAGAATTCACTAATAAATAGCTCGTTTTGTCACATCGCTGTTAATTAATTGATCTGAATAATGATTATGCCAATTGTTTATTGTATTGTTTATTTATTTACGTCAAAGCAGCTAAAAACTGTATGACGTGCTATGGGGAGAAGTTAATTTGAAGTTATATTTATGTCCAGAAACAAAACAAGGGGCCATCTCAGCATTTGCTCGAGGATCAGGGAAACTGGACGAAAACCTGATCGAGATGGGGGTCATTGACCAAGAAGCTGAAGTACAATACTTGCTACAGGCTCTTTACAATTACACAATCCAAATAATATATAATACATTAAATGTCATAATTAAAAAATAAAAATTAATATTCCTTTCCTTTTGGATGCTTAGTATAGTCTCTAATTGCATAGAAACAGTTGTGCAACAGATAAGATTTTACGTGGGACTTAAATTTTTGTATCGAATTTAATCGTTTAATGTCATTTGGCAACGTGTTGTAAAATAATGTACATGTATATGTGAATTTTTTGTAGTGAGCTCTTAATGCTGTTTCCTGATGAATGTGATTACTACGTCAAGTGTTGTAGTTATAGACAACGGCGTTTGTTGAAAATATATTCCCGCTCTTAAGTCATTTTTGACAAAAATCACTGTTTCATATATTAAGACAAAGTAATGGTAAAATACCCAGATTAATAAAGAGAGGCTTACAAGAATCACGTGGGTGGGATTTGCTTATTATTCGTACAATTCGTTTTTGTAATCTAGAAGTCTGGGAGCTATAAGATGTATTTCCCCAGAATAGTATGCCATATCTCAGGCGGGAATGAACATTCGCGAAATATACATGAGCAGTGAGGAGGCTGACTGAATTTGAAAGAATTCTAAAAGCATAGCATAAAGAACTTAATTTGGTGTTCAATTAATTTAAATGGACGTTCCATTTAAGGTTTGACTGAAAATGAAAGACCTAAACATTTTGGTACCTGGTAACATCAGTCAATGGCACGCCGTTCATTTTCAGTGAAGTTTCGAGCTGTTTATTTGAAATAGAGAAGTGCATTAATACAGTTTTCTTTTCATTTACTATTAATATAATATTAGGAAACCAATTTGAAATATCTGATATTGTACTATTTACGATTTCTTTATTGCAAAGAATATTCGTATCGTCCGCCTGTTCTTCCGTTACTAATCATCGAGGGCATACCGTTTACGTATAGTAGGAAGATAATAGGGTCTAAAATCGATCCCTGCGGGACTCCATATGCAATTGGCAATAGAACATAATGTTCTATTATTCCAGTGTGGTATTTCTACTCTCTGAGATCGTTTTTTAAGGTACGAACATAACCAATCTAGAACAACACGAATTTCATACGAATGTAATTTTGAGAGTAAAATGTTATGATCAATGACGTTAAAAGCTTTTGAAAGATCTAGAAATATTCAAATAGGTGCTCCGTTTTGATCCATGGATGAGGCGACATCTTTAAGAAAAGAAAACATGGCTGTTTCCGTAGATTTTGATTTTCGAAACCCATGTTGCCAATCTGAAAACGGGTCGTGTTTACTAAGAAATGTTTCCATTCATACGTAAAAATGTCTAATATTTTTGAAAAAACCGACAAAATAGAAATTGGCCGATAATTTTGAATTTCATTTGTTGCCTTTTTTTGAAAAGCAGCTTAATCTTAACTGTTTTAAAAATGTCTGGAAAAATTCCTGTGCATAAGGATACATTAAATATGTGAGTTAACGGGTGTATAACGACGGGCGCGCAAATATTTAACAATCAATCAGGAAATTAATCTAAACCGGCCGAATATTTATTTTTTAGACCTCGGATTATTTTGAGAACTTCATAGGAGGAAGTTTCGGAAACAAACATCGTGCCTGACATTTTTGGGGAAACGTCTGATGCTGAATTTTGTGGCTGGAGACTCTTGCTGTGATCGGCAGCAATTCTCGAAAAGTATTGGTTAAAGAGTCTAGCCACTGTTGCCTAATCGTTCACATTTCTATTGTTATCTTTTAAAACATTCTCTACAAGGGTTCTAGTTGATTTGGTCGATTTTTTTACTATATTCCACATTGCTTTTGTTTTATTATTTGAGTTCAAAATATCCTGGTCATGTTTCAGGATCATGGTAAAAAAATATAAACGAATTTTTCTTTCATTTCTAAGCATCATAACGTATTTCAAGGTTTCCTCCTCTACTTCAAAAAAATACAAATCATTTTTAGAAACGTCATCAGCAGCGCTAAACAT